TTACATGGTCATACCTCGCTTAAAATTTAAAAACATTACAAAAAAATCTACGAATAAACGTAGATAATATTTTTATCTTCAAGTTTTATATTAGGTTAATTCAATTTAATATTAAAGTTAACAACACAAAATCGATTCTACTGAATACAAATTTGTTGTTGTGCGTTTGTAAAACGGAGATACACATTATACTGTTGTAGCAACCTCTTCAGATGTTTTGTGACAGCCGACAAGGGTGTAATTACTAGGAAAAGATAGAATTTAAAATAAAACTAATAAACTAAAACATTTACACTAGACTTTCGCACGTTGAATAGAACTATTGACAATAAGTGAATAGGAGTCCCAAAATATATAATTCAATATAATACACATTACATTATTTTGACGATCAAACACCTCCTCATTTGTAAAACTCATAAACTATATGCGTTAATAAATTAAAATAAACTAATACATAAATTTAGTATTATATTCTATTAAGTATAACACAAATATCTATAAAGTATACTCGGTTTACCTTCCCCATTTCTAGAAATCGGTATATTTCTATTAATTTTAAACTATATCTGCTACTTTCTTGTTTTAAAAATTGTATTTTATTATACGATGAGGTATATGAACGACTACAGTGCTAACAGCCTTTTTGATTTAATTGTATGTATTTTATAAGAAATCAAGATATAAATAATGTTTTATAGTATCATAACGTGGAGTCGGAGAGTCGACGGAACGTGGCATGTATAATTAAATTTAAGTTTAAAACAGTAATTAAACCAACTCTTGTTACAAAATTTCATTCGCACGGCGATAAGGTTTAAATGTAATTTTTGAAAAAAAAATATATAGTACGCAAGATATAGGACATTATATATTATAAACGTAATATTATTACATATATTTTGTTTCTGAACCCAACGTCAAAGATTTTCTGCATTTGTATACATGCGATTACAGAAAATAATAATGATTCAACGTTTCTATAAATATATATGTATTTAGGTATATTAATATTAAAAGTTATAACCGAGAAGCGCCGTCGCAGCGGTCGGTCCAATCTGCAAAAGTTTATTTTTAATTAAGCTCGCGTCCGGTTGATGATAAAAACTTTAAGTAAAGTTTCTTTTCGAAAATTGCAGAACTTGGTGGCGAGAGAATATTAAACGAATTATCGAGTTCACGACCATATAGTAGCAGTAGCAGATGGAATTAAATATAAATATATAACATAATCTTGTGATGAACTTATTGATTCTGGTATTCATATATATATAATATATAGTGGTTCATGTCACATATATTATAACAATATAATTATATCACAATTATCAATGTATCAAAAATCAAATATCAATGACACCCACCAATAATAAACCTTCAGATAATATTATGTCGAACCATTTTCAAAAATATTAAGAGAAATTTAAATTATATTATATAATGACTTGCCCTTGAGTTTAAAAACGTGAATCACTTGTACCTACTACATTTATTATATCATGTAGGGAAAATTTAAGTGAGAATAAGTGTTGTATCACCTGTATCCCCTATACCTATCACCCGATGTATGGGTGAAACACAAAACCAAATATCACCGTGCAACCGATTTTGTTCTTCTTCGCGATTTATTGAAAATCCATCGATCAAAATATTGAGTAAACGGCGTTAATATTATTTCAGCGTTTAAACATGTGGTTTAGTGTACAGAGTCGCGATTAGATTGAAAAGATGCAAAGGGCGATTGGGATGTATTTCTCCCGTTCGCGCGCGGAGGAGAGAAAACGCGATGCGGCAGACTCACGATTTTAACGAGAGAGTGATTAATTGTGTATTTATGTATTCACGGGATTGTTTCTGCAGCCGTTGCGTCGTGCCTCTTCTTGCATCACCACCACTGCCGCCGCGGTGAAAGCGTGTAAAAGCGGCGACCGTTGCACGTGTCTTATCTTGGTGAATTTAGCCACCCCTGTACACCGTCGCCACCCGACGAACCAAAACCACCCCCACTCGCTTACCAAAATTACAATATATACCCCTTTCTCCGAAAGCTACAAATCATAAACACCCCAAAACTATCAGCGTTCCCGTTACACATACATATATAATATAAACATATAATATATATGATATATAACGCATATATACACCGACGGCGCATTAATTTTAACCGTACCTCTGTACTGCGTATCGTCGGTGCAGTACATAATAATAAGATTAATATTGTTGTTACTTGTTATATTATATTATGATTATTGTACGACCTCGGTGGTTTACTTTAACGTCACCGACATGAAGATTTTCTGTATATGTATGTATAATATATATAACTATATAAGAAATATACACAATGAAAATATTTATAACGTTATCTACATTGTTTAACGTTTAGTTTGGAGCTCATTAAAAGTAAAAAGTAAACCCAAAGGGTCTTTTTGAAAACAGAACCAATTATGTACGTGGTTAGATTATGCTGTGTATACATAATGTGATAACAAGGAGCCTTAAATTTAAATCTTGAGGCAATAGTTTATGTAGAAAGATATTTACTGTATTATGAAAATAACGGTGTGTCATCACTATTAACTATGATAACCATATATAGTTCAAAAATACCTTAACAAACGTTAAAAATACTGGTTGTTTGAAGGTAAGATATTTAAAAGTATTATAGGTTTAAACTGAGATTATTATTTATTAGTAATAGTTATGATTTTTTGAATAACTGCGATATATAGGTAAAATAACTAGTAGATATACTAAATAATTATAAATGTAAATTCGTATAGTTAATTGATACTTAGGTATATAAATATATAATCAATAATAGGTTTGATCTAGATCGTTTTATTAATTTAAACTTTTCGTCGATTTAAAACTAAATAATAATAATAGCATATCATTAAGGTCATACGATAATAATAATTTAGTTAGTAAATAAAAATATTTAGTTTATGTATAAATATACACGAACCACCACCATCTTCCTAACCGAAAATGAAAATGATTCAATTTCATGTAATCATGTATTCTGCAGTTTAGCCTTTTTTTTCCTTTTCGTAATATTATTATATATAATAATAAGCATGATGTATATTATATAATATATTATATTATATTCACCATTATTTCAATATTATTTGTTGTACATACGAGTATTATATACTCAGCTGTCTGCTCTGCTCGTTCATAAATGAATGTGTATCGTGTATATAATTGTAGTTTAAATGCGTGTATGAGTATATATTTTAAACATGAAATATAAATATAAAGTTATAATGTTTATGCATCAAGTATATGTATATACCTACGTCGGTTGACGAGTGCGTACGTCCGCTCGCTTTCATTATAAGTACAGAATCCCAATTAACGCATCAACAACATAAACAATCTAACTTTTTTTGTTCAAAAAGTGACGTATCGTTGTAAATATGAAGAACTTATTTCGTATCTAGGTACAAGACAATGAAAACTTCATTGTTATTTTACGTGCGTGGATTCCGCGTGCCTGATTTATAACATCGTTCTATGACAGGAGAAATGCAAATTTTATGAATATAATATGAACATCTCATTTACAACGTTTATATAACGAAGAAAATTCCAGTGCGTATGAAATTATATGATTTATACTCTTTTTCCAAAAATACATTAAAGTTATAGTGCAACGGTATATGCTCTTTAATAATGTGGCTATAAAGTCCTATATATAATATACATAATATAATATTATTAACAAATAATCTTTTAGAAAATCTAATTTAAAAACAGCAGTTAATTATAAATTATAAATATTAATAATATTTTTTGTGGTTTGGTTCGCACATGGGTTGTACTATATTACTTCTTCACATTATTCAAAACAAATGTTACTTAGGTATACATAAAATTGATAAGATTTAAAGTTTTTTAATAGTTTTATCAATAAAATACATACTTACCTATGCATTGAATTTTTATATTTGTTATTTACCTATTTACTTTTAAATATAAAATTAATTACATATACATATAAATAAAATAAAAATTCTATTCAAGAGATGAAAATTTTGAATGGCCTGGAGGAAATTCATTTTCCTGGCCTGAATTTTTCCCACTCCGCAACTGATGTTATACCTATATATTTAACATCTATATTATAATAATTGTTATGATACAAACAAACTATAGACATTATCATAGTATTATACATAAATACACAAATATACAGGCTATATAGTATACCTATAGTCATGTTTTATATTAAATAGGTGCCTTATATATTATATACGTATATACACGCGATATGCAATAATAAAACATATATCATTACAATAACATAAAATATATACGTATACATTCTACATTCGTGCATAATATATAAAATAAGACTATTTTCCTCAATCGTGTATCGTTCTACGTATATGAATCATATTGTATATGAATATCGTCGTCGAAACGATATTTTCTCTTTAGTAATGCGCCGTGGAACTATACGCACAGATAATATTATATTATAATATATATACATTTAATAATAATATTAATATCATAACGGTGGCCCTTTATCGAGCGCCATTTGTACGGATGATCCTGTTTCGGCGCTACCGCGCGTAGGTGAAACGGGTGGAAAGGGGGCGTAGGATAGACGCGATGATGGGCCGAGCTACGGGCAAACGGGTAGATAGGTTGGGGGGGAGAAACTCCACGGCAAACGGATAGGGGGGGGGGGGGGGGGGAAGCGCGCGTCACCGCCGCCGCCGCCGACGCCTGGAGAATCCCTAGCTGCACCAGAAAAAGAAGGACAATGTCATCCGGCGGCGGCGGCTGTGCACAGGGGGTCGGCGGATAACTCGGCGTGCGACGCGACGCGCGTGCGCGCATCCGTTTCCGACCAATCGGAACCGCCGGGCGTATCGTCGTCGGATGGCACTACCCCCCCCCCTCCCCCCCACGAGCGCGCGCCACCGGGACGCCCGTTAAATTTAATTATCGGATCATTATGTAGTCGTACGGGCCCGCGAGTTCGTCCGATATCGCGTACAGACCATCCACCGCCACAGCGTGGACGTCCGACGTCTACACTGCAGTGGCCGCGCGCGTTTCGTCCCGCACGACAAAACCGTAAACGACGTGCCTACCTGCACGCGCGTATATAACATCACGACGGTAAAATATTGTTTATCCGCTCGCGGGGCACACCTGCGACGACGAACGCGCCGCACGACGTATACCCCGGTCCGTCGTCCGCGTTCAGGCGCTGCGATACCAATAATATTCGTTGATAATAATCGCCGTCCGCGGCCTACTCGCCGCGCGATTTCCGAGTTCCGACTGCTGCGCTGCAGGTAAACGAGTGCGCGGTTGTTTCGACGAGACGGCAGCCGCCGGAACATTGACTTCCGAACAGTGTGTCCGGTGCGAAAAACGGTGGTCCGGTGTCCGTTATCATAACAATATAACGCCGCAATATTATAACATTGTTCGATCGTATCTCTTTACGTGTAGTGTACCTACCTACCTATAAATATATACACATACATAACTGAACCGTTGTCGTCTTCGTCTTCGTCGCGCGTCCAAACCGAACCCCGTCGACCGTGCGGCAGACAGACCGCGGTGATTCTCCGGCGATATTTTTTAACTTTCGATTTCACGATAAATTGCAATGTTGTTTGTGCGATTTTTTGCTCGTGACGTTTTTTTTTAAATCCATTTGTTGGCGGTCGCAAAGATCGCGTGCGACGACTACATACCCAGATCGCTAATCGGAAAATCATATTTTTTGGACGATTATTCACAGGTAAGCAATTCTATAATCATACCTAGGTATACCTACATGGCTACATATTATATATTATACAATACATGCGTCGTGTTTAATAATTAATATATTGTATTGCGTATTTGCGTCTACGACTTTTCTGTTGTGTAGGTAGTTTTTTTTTTCTGAAAACTATGATGTTTAATTATTTGATTTCCCTATGTATCTACGTTTAAAAATGCGAATGTAATGATCTGATAATATAATTCGAATAATGCTAGCAGTACCTACTATAGTATTAGCTGCAGCTCTATATATTGTTATAGATGGAATAGACAATAATATAATGTTATTCACATGAGTTTATGCTTAATGTGTAGATTTTATTCGTAAAAATTAAGTAATAAAAAGGAAAATCATACTGAGAATTTGTAAAAAAAATGTTACAAAATTTTAAATTTTTACAATGCAATTTTACGTGAAAAATACGATAGGTGTATAATAACTACATTTACAGTGATTATGATAGCGCAGAGCTATTATATGACTGTCTAAATGAGAATGTGTTGAAAATTAACATTTGTGAACACTGAACATATATAAAATACAATATATTTTTTTTTAAATATGAATATTATTACATAAATATATTTATTTGTAAGTAAAAATTATCATCAATCAAAACAACGTAATATAAGATTATAAGAATGATATCTAAGTAAATACCAATATAAGTACATCAATTTATAGTAAACAAACCTTCATATTATAATATTTTATATTTTTAGAAATCATATATAGAGCAGAAGTAATTCCGAAGTATCTTTCATATCTATAAGTAAGGATTTTTCCAATCCTATTACATTAAAAACACTTTATTTTTCTTTAATTTGTTCCACTTTGGAATATAATTCTATTATCTGATCGCCTTCAGCAACTATTACTCTTATACAATTCCTTGAATCAATCCAAAATCGCTTCTTTCTTCAAATCAAAATATTTTTAGCATTGTATTTTCATAATTAAGATTGTAAATTTGCATTTATATTTTAAAAATATTTAGCGAAGTATAAAATATATCCTGAAATTTTTACTTTAAATTGTAACTAATTAATATGGTATTCGTATGAAATTCAGTTTTTATTTATTAAAATACTCTAAACAATATTTAGTTTTGGAATTTAAAATTAAAAAATAAATGTTATGGACTCGAGAAAGTAAAAGCGTGAACATTTATAACAATAATTAATTGTATAAGTATGAATTTTTTCAAAAATATTGTTTTTTAATAGCATTAAATTCAATGTAAAAAATAATTGTAAAATTGTTTCAAAATAAGAATTATATAAATATTTAAATAGATTATACAATTTTATACATTACTCTTGGGTTTCTTTTAACTGTATCAAATATTCAACATTAAATATATTATTATAAAGTGTAAACTCTTATTGTATAATTTGGATTTGTTTAAAAACACATCTTATATATACACCAGCTAACACTCACAAAATACTGCACGTGCCAAGGGTGTACCAATATTATGCGCCAGGCGTCAATTTTAATGGGGGATTTAGGGGTTGCATACATTAACGGATAACAAAATAATTATCTCATATTAGAATGTTTTAGAACATTAAGTAAGTTGAGTTAACATGGTACAAAAAACTTAAAAATGTAAAGTTATTAATTTTAATAACCTTAAAAATAAAAACATTATATTTTATAACATGTTGTAAAATAATTGTATCGTAAATCATAAATCATAAAAATATTTTGTTGAATAAAGAATTATAAGTATATTTATATTAAAATATTAAATGGAGTCTTCAACCCATAAAATGTGTTTTATTTGCTGCCAAGTTAATATTTTTTTATTTAAATTACATAGATAAATAAATAAAATAAAGTAATTTTATTATTTAATTTATATTATTATGTTACTGTTTATTTTGTAAAATGATCTGTGTTAATGCTAAAATATTTTTATTATTATTTAGTAATTTAAACAAAATAAATACATCTGCTGTTTAATTTATACGTCTTATTTATACTCGTATTTATTATTTTTATTTGTAGAATGCAAATATTTTAGTTTTGGACAAATTCCTATAAATATCTACATTTTGTATAAGAAAATATCGATTCAACAATCGGATAAAAAAAAATATTGTTGGGTTTTCCTAATGGATGTCCCTAAGTTGTTGCGGTCGAAACAGGTTATATTCGGTCGACGGCGACGAAAGGTCGGAAATAGGGTTAAAAAATATTTAGCGCTACTTTAGCTGCAATCACACGTTTATTATTTATAGTTGAATAATAAATATATATGTATGTACAATTATTTACCCAACAGTTTTAAAAAAAAGCGAAAAACTGTACACCAAAATATACCACAGGAAAATAAGTTATGGTGTGGAAAGTTATTCGAAAAACTCGAGCCAATAAATTATAACGGCATGTAAGGACAAAACAACCCTCCAAACATATGCATATACTGACCCTTTTTATCATGTAAAAACCACGTACGTGTTTTGATTCTTTAGTTGTATCATAAATAGTATTAAAACAGCTGTAATTACAAATAAGGCAGTTAGTGAAAAAAGGGGAGTATAGCGAATGACATTATTATTTATGGTTCACTGTGTTTATTACTACAGTCATCATAAATACTAATTAAAAACTATTTAAGATTCTTTATCGATGTTTAAAAAGCTATTATCTTACTCATTTTTGTTTTAAAAAATATTCATATTTTTATTATGTTTTTAACGCCGAAATTCCCACGTAGAATGATAAATGTTCGTTTAATTTTTTTTTCGCCTGCATTTAAAGTTTAAATTGATCATTATATAATGTAGTTGAATTCACGGGTATCCGTGAAATTAAAATTCGTGTATGCGATTATGTGAATCCGTGAATTTTTTTATTAAACTACGGGTTTATTATTATACGTAAAATTTTATTTTAAATACATCTAGTATTTTCCAATTTCTTTTTAGTTTCTATACGGTGGTAATCAGTGCGATTAATTAAAATGGCTTTTACAATGTTTTTGACATTATCTGTTTCTACTGCTATTACTTTTTTATTTTTATCTATTTCCCATTCGTTGAAAGTATTCTTTATAGTTGATAGATAAGATTTTCTGCTGTGTGTCATTAATGTAACTCATCAGTAGTAAGTTTAAATCAAGGTTTAAATGATATTGGTCACCATTGTGTATCAATAATATGTGCACTTATAGACTATATAGTTATTTATGACTTTTGTGATAATAATGATAACCAACGATCAGAAGTACACGATACACTTTGGACAGAGCGCAATTTTATTTTTTTCTATTTTTAGTGCATATAGAAACCCTTTTTTAATACCTCTTCCTTAATTGCCTTGTAATTTGGTTCTGCGATGGGTATAAAGTAATTAAATCTAGTACTAAAACAAAATGGTATAGGTATTTAATTTAAAGCCACCATTTTAACAACGGATTGATGAATAATTTCAGTTCTTTTAGGAAAACATAGTGGATTATCATTTTTTTTTTTTCACTGGTTAAATTATTACGACGACATCGTTTTTGAGATGAAATTATAAAAGTACTTGTTTAAGTATCGCATAATCTTAAATTGACAGCATTTTATTGCTCATTACTATTTAATTGCTATCTTCATTATTAACAAAACAACCTAACCTGTAAATAGTCTTAGAATAAATACTAATAAAAGTAAAAATAATATATTGGTATCAATTTAGTCAAAACTCCTTGAAACGTACTCATTTTAAATGAGTATAAAATTAACTATGGTTTATCTTTCAGTATCTATTCAAATATCATAAAATATTTATTTCAGTAGAAATCCATTCTCCAATCATGGCATATTATACAATACGCCCCTTTGATTTTTATTACTTTCATACTAGTTTGTTATATTATGAATGATTTTTTAATTGACGAGTACCTACTGATTTAGTTCTATCATCAACGCAGACAAATTTATCATTATAATTTTCATCGCATTATTCACTGTAAGCTTTGTTTTCTACACGTTTAACATAATTCCAAACTCAACTTTTAATCTTAGGCATCGTTATTCGTTTGAAAAAAAATTAATATCACAATTTCGACAGTATATATAGGTACACATTTTCCAAAAAAAAATTTATCAAGACTTCAAAAAATAACAAAAGTTTAAAAAAAAAAAAGACGAAAACAAACTAGTTAAACAGCTGTAGCTAATGATGGGTGGATTGGTTTGTACTGTTCATGGAAATTTTCACGTCGCTGTTGTACGCGTAGTTGTAGTACATACATTGCTCCATCCGTTCCGCCATTTTACAATAATACTGTTTATGAAACATTTAATTTTTAGATATTTTTAGTAGGTATTTAGTTTTTTACGAAAATCATTGACATATTTATTTTAAATATTTCATTATAATTTAATACGCTTAGTAAATATTATATTTTAAATACATATGAAATAAATATCCATGATTTACCAATTAATTACACATGAATTAAATTTACGGATTTTTATATTTAAATATACGCGATCACGTGAACCTTAATTCACGTTTAAATTCGATAACTCATATATTTACGATCGTCAAATGATCAAACGAGGATGCAAGCAAACATCAACTTTTGAGTACCGGCCTTCCCGTCAAACTGAGAAATTCCACTCCCTTTTTCATACCTCTCACAGCTTACTTACTGAATAGTAAGTGAATAATTATATGAATATATAATTATTATTATAATTCATCCCTACTACGTCTTATGTGTTTAACCGTATCTTTAATCACGGAAAACTTTCTAATTAAATAGTAACCATATGAACTTGTAACTTAAGATATTTATCACTAACTACTTGACTTGATTATGTTTTGAGTTTTCACAACCCCTTTAATATTTAAATAAATAATTTATAATTATTATTAACCGTTAAAAAAAATGTAGTACCTGTAGATTTATCCTGTTTACATATTTGCAGGCAACATTGCATCTTTAAAACATAATATTAATATAGAGTTGTGATTTTTCGTTTGATAATTATAGCGGTAAATACTTTTTATCTCTTTTTAATACAAAGAAATACATCGCATAAAATTGGTAATAAATTAAAAATTTAAACCAATTTCAATATTAGAGGATTTTATGTTAAAGATTGTATTATTGAGATATTTTCGTATTTTTTGTTCCACGAGAAAAATATTTTTATTTTAAATTAAATATAGTCTCCAAATTAAATTTCACTTCCAATTTGGTACATATTAATTAAAAATTTAAAATGGAAATCAAAATAATCAATCGCGATAAATTAATTTTCACGAACTATATACCACATTATGTATATTTAACAAAAAAATATACGACATACATATTTTGACTTTAATTCAATTTTTATTTACTTTTAAGCAAAATTTAATTACGTTTAACTTAGTTGGTAATTTATTTTTTATGGATACTCTTCTTCATTTTTAGGTTATGTACTCAATTTACTATCAGAATTGAAATTTTAAGTTAGTTGTGTATCTTTTATTTTGTATTTTTTATAAATATAATTCTGTATCTACTGATTTTAACACTATATTTAATAAACTTACTGAACAAGAAATTGAGTTATTGAACCCTTTTAATTAAAATAAATATACAATTATAAAATTTAAATTAAATCTACATTATGCCAATTCAACAAAATTAATAACAATTTTATGTTTGTTTCAGTCATACTCAATGATGTACGAAAGCGCATGTTCGTACCAAAGTGCATTAGACCTGAAAAGGGTCGCGATGTCATCACCACCTAGTATAAAAACAGAAAATGACTGTCTTCCAACTACTACTCCGCAGTGGCCCTCGGTAGGAGTGGCTAGTTGTGCTTATAGGTAAACATCACATTTTTGTTTACTTAATTTGATTAATTAGAACAGCTCTTTGGGTGCACTAATGTGTTTATAATACACTTTATACTCTTATATATATATATATATATATATTAAGTAAACTTAAACTATAATAAGTAATAATTTATTATTAATTCTTATTTTTTATATATATACATAAGGTTTGCGTGTAATTCCACGTTTGAGCAACTTAAACAGTCAGTAGAAAAAGCAAAAGCTGCATTACAGGACCGTGGAAGTTACTTATCGTCGTGTGACCTAGGTACGTCTCCTTTTTGCCCAGCAACACCGTCATCCAGGACGACAGTGTCCACTCATCCAACTACCAATTCACTCGATTTATTTCAGGATGAACAAAATAATACTGATAAACGAAACAATTGTAAGTTCACCAACATCAATTTAAAAGTTTAAAAATAACATACAAATATATAAATATTTATAACTTCTTATTTAGCAAATGCAATAAAAATTAATTTTTAAGTCGAACTAACGCAGTTTTACCTATGATAAAATGTAACACAATAGTATTATTTATAGCTAATAGTTATTTATTTTTAATAAATCGTATTATTAACTTTTCTATCTATGAAGCTATATCTAATAATAATATATATTGTTGAAAATCTGCAAACAGTATACCGTATTATAATGTATTGTCGTTTTTGTAGAAAATAAAGTTAAAAAGGAAGAAAACAGTTTCCATGGAAACAACTTTCGGTCGTCATCCTTCAGTGGTTTTGTACTTTTGGCTCTCTGAGAAAAAATGGCGCATTTTGGAACAATTGCACTAAGCTCAAACACAATACATTATATACATATATTTTCTCACCGGGCATCCGGAAACGAATAGGAATGAGATAGTAAAGGGATGCTCGGGTGTGGGAGGGGAATGAATGAAAATTGAGTACATCCGTTGTGGCTTTTTAGTAAAAAAAAAAAGTGAAAACGAAAAAAAAAATGTTTTTTAATGATATGCCAGGGACATAGGTTTTTATTATTTCAGTCCACTTCCGACGATCATATCAGTCCAGGCACATAATCCTTTTATGATTATCATTTCCTTCCTTGAAAATTCATGGTATAATATAATATCTTTTTCACATACCTACTTCATATAATTTTTAATTTTAATAAATCTTAAATATAGGTAATTTTCTAAAATATTTTAGCTTATTACGCTTAGAAGGATTATTTATTTAAGTATTGTTTTGATTTAGTATATTCATAGTAAATACTACATAATAAATCTTGATTGACGAATCATTACAAATCATATGAAATTTTGAAGAATTTTATTTGTATACAAATAATTCTATTAACAACAATGTATAAAACGTTTTATAACGATATTAAAAATATATCAAATGTATACAAACAACTTTTTTTTTATAAAAAATATAAGATCATTGAAATAGAATATAATTGAAGCTTAGATAACATTTAAATATAGACTGTATTATATATTATATTAGTAAGAAGTTTTTCAATGCATATAATACATAATATAATTAATAAATTATGCGTAATTATTAACATGAATAACACATTTTATAAAATAAAACAATTTCCTAGTTTAAGTTTAATTTGGGTAGTATAAGTTTGAAATTTATGTACTAAATAGTAAATACTTAATTAAATAAAAATAATATCTTGAAGCAAATCTTATTTCTTGTTATAATAATGCAAGAAACGACGAAAATAGAATCCTTTTTCTTTCAAATGTTTTATTTTTCCTTCTTTTATTTTTGTAAACGCTTTGTTGTTGTTTTTTTCAACACCTTTTTAGATAATTATTTTGTTGACATAAACGGAAAATAATGGATACCCTACATAAAAAGAGGGAAAATTATCATTATAAACAAATATAGAAAAAATAACATAGACATGATAAAAAGAAAACCTCCGGAACATTAATACCGATTCCAGGCGACGAGCCGCAACGATAGTATCCTTTTCCGGTGTTCCGGTTAGCTTTCCTGGTGCATTTTATTTGACACAAAAGAAATGTTATTTAACAAAATAAAATTAAAATATCTATTTAAAAACATTTTCCAGACGCTCTCATGTTTTATTGTAAAATTTTATACTTTTGAATAATTAGTGAAAAATATGTTTTATTTCTAAAATTAACTAATGCACTAATAACATATTATTTCATTTTTGTTGATATTATCCATATTTAATTTATTAGTTATTTGTGTTTTATTTGATTTGACCCTCATCATATTATTTTCTCTTGACATCTATGTTATTAATGTTCTCAACAATGCGTAGTTTATTTATTTTGTTTTAATATTCAATTATGAATAATCATTTTTTATTACAAAAGCAAACATATTTTTAATATAATTATATTTTTAAGCATAATACAGATAACAATAATATACCGTATAAATTATAGACATTTTGCAGTTTTGTAATCTGTATAGTATTCTATTATATACTAGTATACTAAGCGTATTTCATTTCGTAATTTTCATGAATAAGTAATAAAAATCTATGTCTCAAAAATTAATATTATTTATCTTGTACGTATAACCTAATTGTAATATTATATATTAATAATTAAATATATTATATTATTATAGATTTCCTTATATGAAAACAAATGTAAATCGCCGTTGCACTGTATAGGTACATTATTGAAAGAAAGGTACAGAGGGTACATTTTATAACCAAATGATATTTTTGTAGTAGAAGATAATCGTTTTTCTACCATAACTATAAATACTTTTAAAAATAAAATAAAATATATTTGAAAACAATACACAAATCACGAAATTAACACGAATAAAATATCTCACTTTTATAACACTAGCTATAAATATGTAATGTAAATTATTATATTTATATACTTACTATAAACTAGTAAGGTAACTAAATTCGAGACCAAGCTCCGAAGATTCTTTAATAACTTATAGAGGTACCTTTAACTATACAAAAAAATTATTTAGTCAGTATTTTATAATATTTATGTGAATATTTCCTGATATCAATAAATAATATACATGAACTAATTCTATGTATAGAAAGATTAAAATAAAATTCTAATTATTTGGCAGTAAAACACTTAATGTAGCTGTAGGTATAAAGTTAATTTTTAGTTATGTATTTTTATAAAATTTTTGCCACCACAAAATAATCACTTGTGATGAGCATGAACATCCATCACCCATATACAGTGTGTCCCGTTTTAAATGTACCACTAAATATCTCAGCCCTATAATCTTAGATTGAAATACGGTTTGCTGCAATAGCTAAGGGGTACTGAAGTACACATTTAAGGACAAATTTCAAATTTTTAACTCTTGTAGTATGCGCATGCGCAATACAAATTTTTTTTTTTTTTAATTGCAACACCTATTTTTGTCACCGGATATGGATAGATTATTTTATTCTAAGTAATTTTGATCCATTGACCATAGTTCTAAACCTAAAATTGAATGAGTTACACCTTTTCGAAATTTTAAAATAATTAAATTTTTTCGATTTTACCAAAAACATTTATTGTTTTAAATTTGAATTGAGTGATTTTTTCATAGATTTTAATAAAGAATGTGAAGTAGGAAATTAAATAAAAAATACTCCGTTACATTGTTTTGACCTAAAAGATAGGAAGACGTTATTCAGATTTCTTAACTTTGCTACCGATGATGTTGGAAGATGTCTCTTTATTACTTCGTCAAAACTTATTTTTTCAACAGGATGGAGCACCCGCTCATAATGCCATTATTATAAGACAACAGTTAAATGAAATGTTTAGAAATCGATGGATGGGAACTCACGGGCCAGTGGAATGGCCCCCACGGTCACCTGATCTAACACCATTAGATTTTTTTTATGGGGTCATTTAAAGACTGTTGTTTATGCAGATCCACCAGCAAACTTACAGGATTTAAAAAATAAAATAACGGTAGCGTGCAGACAATTAACAAAAGAACAAATTTTGGCAGCAACCTATAGAGAAGTGAGTCGTCGATTGGAAATGTGTTTAGAAAAAAACGGAAGAAATTTTGAACATTTTATTAGATAAAAAAAATAAACATAAGTCAAAACAATGTAACGGAGTATTTTTTATTTAATTTCCTACTTCACATTCTTTATTAAAATCTATGAAAAAATCACTCAATTCAAATTTAAAACAATAAATGTTTTTGGTAAAATCGAAAAATTTAATTATTTTAAAATTTCCAAAAGGTGTAACTCATTCAATTTTAGGTTTAGAACTATGGTCAATGGATCAAAATTACTTAGAATAAAATAATCTATCCATATCCGGTGACAAAAATAGGTGTTGCAATTTAAAAAAAAAAAATTTGTATTGCGCATGCGCATACTACAAGAGTTAAAAATTTGAAATTTGTCCTTAAATGTGTACTACAGTACCCCTTAGCTATTGCAGCAAACCGTATTTCAATCTAAGATTATAGGGCTGAGATATTTAGTGGTACATTTAAAACGGGACACACTGTATATATATATATATGTAGATCAAATATAGTAGGTACAAGTTTTTTTTGTCCTACGAAAAGTATAGTTAACTCTACCTATATATTATTTCTATACATTAGATAAATAATTAAAATTTATTTTTTATTTTTTTAGATATTGATTCATCAAATAGCAGATACGATAAAAGTTCTGGATTAATGCATTTATCATCGTCTACTTCAAATGGTAAATATATATTTATCTTATAGAATAATTTTGTAAATACATTTTAAACAATATAATTCTTTTATAAACGCAAGTATAAAAAATATTATACTCCAATTCTACATATTATAATATTGAAAATTCCAAATCTGTATTAAAACTTTAACAGAACGCAATTGTATTTCACTGTAACTATTAAAGTTATTTCGTCAACACTTCATACATATATAAATAAGTAATAATAATAACTTATAATTTCTTATAATTTATAAGAAATAAATAATCATATGGGATCCAAAAGTTATAGGTTACCTAACCAACGATTGCATAACTTATTTATTATCCATCAATAATATAATGATATGATAAATTACAGCTAGATAGTATCTTGTAACTATATAGAGTACGGTTTCCTATATACTCGTATAATACTGTAATTGCAGCTCATTATACATATTATAATGTTTATTATAGATTAATTTTGTTGATACGTTATATTAATTTAATTTTAATCGGTACCACAATTAGTACACAATCTGCGGTGATGTACCAATTAAGTATCTATAGCATTTATAGTATGTTGATGCAATGTATTCACGTGAAGTGTTGCGTATAATTGCACTGGAGTCCAGAAATCGTGTTTTACATAGAAAGTTTCAGAATTTAGCATGTACTGGTTTTTTTTAGTGTATTTATTTGAGGATAGGTACATACTTAATTTTATAAATAGTAAATATTGGGGTTCATATTTCTATTGTTGTATGCATTTATTAAATGCCTATACCAATATTAAATTATCAGAAATGATGAGTAATACTACAATTGTTATAACAGGTGCTGAAAAATAATACATTTTCTGCTAATTACTCGTATAAATAAACGTACAACTTTAAGCATAAGTTGAATCCTAGCACATTTATTTTAGGAAAACTTAAGTTGGGTTAACAAACTACCAAAAATAAATTTTATATTTTTGTACCTCGCCTCTGATGCATAAAATTAATATTTTTTTTCATGAGATTTACATCAATACACATAACTTCATTATTTTTTCTGTTATTATCTTCTTTATTTTATAGTTATTCATTTCATAATAATATAGTTTAAATGGGGAAAAAATTTAAAAACACTTCTTTCACAAAAATTAAATGAGTCAATTTTTCACTGGTAAATCGAAGTATCTTTTTCGATTACATTATTATCAATAACATTCAGATAATATTATATTATTGCAGACCCAACTGGTATTTAATTTAATCGATGAAATAAATCTCGGTAGCCAATTCAAGTTTTTCCAAACAAATCTAAAATAAATTATATTTATATAATATTATTTACATGTTGTAATCGTTGAGATGTATCAATTGAACACTTGAAACGTAGATATTGAAAACTATAAAAAAAATATATTTATATTATTTACCTATACCTACGTATTAATACGACATAAACACAAAATATTGACATATTATCATTAAAAAATATTATATAGGTATTCCAAAAAAAAATTACATTTCAAAAATAATAATCTGTAGGCGGAGACGAAAAATATAACCCCCCCCCCCCACATACACGCCTAATATGTACGATATTGAATTATTTATTATGAACTATAAACGTAGCTGTGTCGTTGGGTGAAAAGGGGAGTCGCGTGACCCCCATCTCCCCTCCTCGTATTGACAATAGTGTGTTTATCTCCGACGAAGGTTGGCTTTTACAATTTTACGGGAAGGGGAAAACTGTCAACCCATCGGTATGAGGGTCACATGCTGTTACCATAGAAACTGTCGTCAGTCAAATGGCCGCCATCCCAAACCGCCTCACCAATCATTCCTATTCGGGGTTTTCTTCTTAACATCTAATAGAATTTTTTTTCGTTTGGCATTGAATTAGGATACAAAGCCGAAAAACGTTGTTAGATTCTTTATAAGATTTCTTTTCAATGATTTCACACGTTCTTAACAAAAATATTATTTAAACTTCTATGGATATTAAAGTCAAAAATTTAATAGTATAGCTAAATGGTAGCTTGAAATTCGCATACGAATAAATAATAGACAACAATTTATAGTCAAAAATACATAGAGTTTAAAAATTGCGGATAACTAATACAAATTATTAAAATAATTATTAATAAGTATTATAATATAATTATACATGTATATTAGGTAGGTACAATAATATTAATAGTATACAGTTTTTACATAATATATTTTGTATTCAATTATTATGTCAGCTGAATCTTTCTATATAAAATAATACACGTTTAAAAAATATTGGGCGAAAAACTTATAGACATATTTTATTAGGTTATTAATTTTATGTATTTTTTAATACTTATACAATTTGATTTACCTTCTCTATACTATTGAACTATATATTTTTAAATAACAATAAAAAAACCAGTCTGATAAGAATTGTAACTATTTTTTCTGCACTCTACTATTACTTTATTTACATATAGAGGTATATACTACCAAATAAAAGGTATATTTAGCTATTGAGTACTGATTTGTATATAATATAATCCAGACTGGCATAAAACAATTGAAATATTATAGTATATTATTGGTACAATTACTATTCTATTAGAATTTTTTTAAATTTGAATAATTTTAAAAATATACTATTAAATAACATTATAGGTTCTCATTTATAGTTATAAAAATTATCATATTTTTTAACTAGTAACCTAACTTATAGGTACACCTCATCTAGTTTAGTGATATAAAATTTATACCCATAAATTTTTTAATATTGTTTAAGCATACTTGTATTCAGTAGCTTTGTTGAATAAAAAATGTATGATTTTAATATTCTTTCAATAATTTCTACAGGTTTATCTTCTGTAGGAAAATCGACGTCATATTTGCCATCATCCATATCAGAATCATTTAGATCGTCATCTAAAACAGGTATGTCATTAATTTATTTGCGTATTTGCACAAAAGTCAATCATCAGTAACAGTTTTAATTCAAATAATTCCATACTTTTATTTTATGTAATTAAATAATAATTATAAATGAAATAGATAATATTAATAATTTAAAAAATGTATCATAATTAACATAAAAAAGTATGCAATTAACTTATCCATCTTCCTAATAATAGATTGGTATATTACTCTTATTATTAGTAAATATTAAATATTATTATAACATTCATATTAATAAAATGTATATCGTTTTGGTATAACTAATATTATAAAGTTTGAAATCAGTTCATATATAAATAAATAGTTTAATAATATAATATGTGGAATATTTTCTCTGAAATGCTATACTATAAAAATATTACTATGCATAATTGCAGCAAATCTCTATTTTTTTTTTTTTTTTGTCGTACTTTATGAATCATAAAAATGTATACAATTATTACCAAAAATTAATCTTTTTTTATATCTTTGTGTAAAATATATCTCATAGAATATGTTATATTAAATTATTAATTAATCATAATGGAGATATATGAAAAAAGTATGTCAAAATAAGTTAATTAAAACAGTGGTGGAATGACTTCTCATTTTATTCTTCTCTTACACTTACAACTATAATATGTAGTACATAAAAGTGTACAACTAAAATTATAGCATTTATATTAATATCCAAGTATAGGGAATGTGGCTATCGTAGTAGTCTATGGCTTTCTATATCCTTTCCAACGACACAAATTTCTAAAAATACCGTTAAATTCTTTTTAACACGTCTAACTATATATATGTACCTACAATAACATAAATATTTTATTTGTTGTTTTCATATTATTTCATATTGATTTTTTTATTTTTACTTGTCTTGTACCTACCTATAATAATTTAATTAAAATGTTCAAAAAAGTCGCTCTGTTAATAATAAGTTTCGAGTATATCTACCTCGTCATTGTGAAAGGCACTGTTATGAATTTGTTAAATTTTAATTCAATAATAAATTATTATACACGATAAACTATATGCTATAGTTTATTAATATTTTAAACTGATTTATCTATTAATAATACATTACTTAGGTTGAATTCATTTTTGCTAAAATCATCACATAATAACATTTTTATAAAATAAATAATTATGGTAGGTATAATATTATAAAAACGATAATAATTATTATAATATTATAGACTAATTGTTACCAAATTATTAGTCAATAAGGAATATCAACAAATACTATATAATGGTGTAAACATAGGTTTTTGGTAAAAATGTATGTATTTAATTTGTTCCAAATATATATTATATAATATAGTTTTCACAATTAATATTTTATGAATAACAATCAAATAACTAAAATTGTCTGAAACAGAACTATTATTTTTCGTTTAAATATCTAATTTTATCACGATTTGAATTAAAAATTTGTCTATTAAAAAAATTGTACATATTATAAAGTATTAAAAAAAATGTAATTCTTGTGTGGATAATTTAAGAGGTATAATTTATATGGGATTATATAATTACATTTTTAAGCTAATAAAAATTAATATTTGGTGGAAATTTAAATTTTTAAGTTTTTATATACGCAGTTATTAATTTTTTATTACAACAAATGAATAAAATCTTTTTTCTCAAAAACTAGAAATGATATAAATATTTTCATTTTTTGTCAAATTTTTAGTTTTTTTCAACTATTATTAAAAGGAACTAAGACTCTACAAATCTAATTTTTAACTTGATGCCCATCAAAGTTGATGGTTCAAATTTTTTTACTGCACTAAATGTGACGTCGGCGAAAAGAGAAACACATCGCATTATTTCACTCAAAATCCAAAAAAATTATCATATACGTCTAATTTTTTGTTATTTGGAAACCTATACTTGTAAGAATGTAGCATTTATAGTGAAAAACTAATTAATTTAATTTAGTAGAATTAATATATAAATTTTAATATATAAAATACGTGCAGTGTAATACAAATTATGTAGTACTTACGTATATGACATTATTATAAAAATATTTATAGAATTATATTAAACGTCGTTCACTCAGTTTTTATAGATGGGTTTAAAGTAAGATTTATGAGTATTATTTATTAATTTGTACTCAAAATTGCAGAGTTATCGAAACACGCAAGAAAAAAATTTACCGCTATTCCACCACCACAGCAGGTATAGAATATACATTAATATAATCGAAATATAGGCAGGTATCCGCGTGTATAATACACAGTTAGTGGTAAAAAAAAAATAAACATTGATTATCGTGTTTACTTCAGTACCTACACTCACGGGTGTTGGCGTGGCGGCGTTTATATAGGTATATATAGCGTGACTGACATCCCTTTTTCGCAATAAACCGTATAAAAGCCAAGGTGTCTCTTCGTGACAGTCATCGAATCGAACAATGCAATATAAAATTTCACATAGGCAAGTCTGTACAGTGGGAGGGGGCCACAGTTAACTCGGTTATGATTAATGGCTCCGGTCCCCTTGCCAAACGACTTTAGTCCATCCCTATTAGCAATAAATAAAAATATTATATACGTTTTTATTTCATTCTTTTTTTTTTTTTTTTTTGTTTACCCAGAACGCTTTGTCTCGAAGCTTTCATTCGTATCCACCCTTCACCCTTCATCATATACACGTTAACCTCGGCACCATAAAACATTTGACTCAAGATGTAATCAAAGCCGAGAAAATCCACCAACTCGTAAATAATAGGGATTTTATTTATTTTTCCAATAGCTAGTGCATCGACCGGGGTTATGTATTAGATACTGAGACTACATTGTAGTAAAATTTAATATTTACTTGTATAATACATATTCAACATAAATTATTCTACTCATATAATGTAATATGTAGTAACTATATCTATATAATTAATCAATCGCTTCATTTAATCTACGGATATGTAATATTAATAAATTATCTATAAAAATGAAAACACTTCTGTAATCGATACAGCTAGTGTTCACTTACATTTTTAAACTAATGGAGTTTAAAAATAAAATTAATACAAAATTTTGCATATACATTATAATTTATAACTAATTCCATTATAATTGTATGAAAAATTATTTTAAAAATTGTGATAGAATTACAATAGTTATGGTGTTTGAAGTATATATATTATATACTTTCAACTTTTGAGACTCGAACTTTGTAAAGTTATTATTTGAAACACGTGCAGCGTTCCATTGTCACAGCGAATATATATACGTCACCCCTCTAGTCGAACGTTATTTTACATAATAAAGAGAATTTATGACAATAATAATTATAATTGTTACCAGTGAATTAAATCGAAGTACGGTATGGTTACTTTTGTCTGTCGTCGATACCATATCACATGTCGTTTCTCTACCTCCCCCGCCCCAACCATGCAATGTTATAAAGTCTTTGAATACGTTTACTCTTACCCACTATCACCCCGACTCTTTCTGCACCCTACACCATATACTGCGCCCACTCGCCGACCGCCGCGACGACGAGTTTTCGAACATGACTAATCTCTATGGGTTTCCGTTTCGGAATGGAAAGTCGGCGGCGTACGGTTTCCTGCCGTACGCACGGCCCGAAATAATAGCCCCAGTCCACACGCGTCGCGGCCTTTGTCAATTAAAGGCCCTTTCGGTCCATTTCACCAGTGGACGACCGCCTTTAACGAGCGACCCTTTCACTCTGTCCTACAACTCGACCATTGTTTGTTTATGATTAAAACCAAACGGGCCAGAAAAAAATACGCGCATAATAATAATAATAATAAAAAAATAATGTACACAATAGCGTTTTTATACGGAACATCTCACATGACATTGCAATAATTTTTCACTTTTATAACAACCAACGGCGATGCACCGACGTGACTATAATAATATCATTACGTCGAATTATATACTTATTTTTATTAACTAAAATTCACTTTTTACCAACATTTTATATTTTTATCTTTAAAGTAGAAAAAAAACAATAAAAATTATACTATGAAGTATCAAAATGTTCCGACAAATTACATTATTTTAATACAAAGTATAATTGGATTCGTAATGAAAATTATTAAACTAATATCTAATTTAACCTATATTTATAATTTGAGGGTTACTATTTTATGTGCCATAAAATTTTAAGATTATAACTGAAATAACAAATATCATGTAATATACATAATACATGAACATTAAAAATATAATTAAAAAAATGTTTAACATGCAAATACATAGATAAGTACATTATTATGGAGTATGGAGTATATTATATTTTACTAGTACAGTGAAACCTCTACAAAGTGGATAGCCATGGGGAATTAAAATATATCCACTATTGAGAAAACCTCTACATAGCGGACATTTGCGAGAAATTACTAAATGTTCTCTATAGAGAATTAGTTATACATATACAGATTAGTATATATTATTGAAATATTAATTGATTATTTATTATATATATTACATGTAAATAGTAAAAAGTGGGTACAAAAATGTTTATAAAAATTTTAACGTAGGTACGTCACACCATGTGCAACACACAACTAACGACCGAACACATAACCGAAACATTTATTAATTTTCTAATAGGAAATAACCTTTAGGATAAAATAAAATATGAACGAAATTTATAAAGATAAATTTAGTATTTTTATTGTTTTAACATTTTCAATACGTAAGTACGTGTATTGTGTCCATTTATGAGAGATAATTTTTAAGTTTGGTACCTGTTTTTAGTGTCCACTATTAAGAGGTTATAACTCCTATTATGCGTGCATACATTTTTGCCGGAGAATTTAAAAGTCTCCACTATTGGGCAGGTCCACTATTGAGAGGCGCCCATTAATAAAAATTTCACTGTACTTAAAAACTACAAAATAAAGTGAAATAACATCAAGTAAATCATTTAATGTGTGATTATACTTTAAAGTTACTAACAAAAAATATATACCTACATATTTGATTCAACCTTAAAACATGTGTTTATATAATAATTTA